CTGATGGTTTTTCTAATGTTGAACCATCTCTGCATACCTGGTATGAATCCCACTAGGTCATGGTGAATTATTTTTTTGATATGCTGCTGAATTCTATTGGCTAGAATTTTGTTGAGGATTTTTGCATCTATGTTCATGAGGGATACTGGTCTGTAATTTTCTTTATTTGCGGTGTCTTTACCTGGTTTCGGTATCAGGGTTATGCAGGCTTCATAGAATGAGTTTGGGAGTATTCCATCCTTTTCTATGCTCTGAAAATACCTTTAGTAGTGGTGGTGTTAACTCTTCTCTGAAAGTTTGGTAGAATTCTCCACTGAAGCCTTCAGGGCCAGAGTTTTTTTTTTTCAATTGTTTTAAGTGAGTTTACAATTCAAGTTAGTTTCTCATACAAAAATTTATACACACATTGCTATGTGACCCTAGTTACTCTCCCCATACTGTGACAGCACACTCCTCCTTTCCACCCCGATTTCCCATGTCCATTCAACCAGCTCCTGACCCTCTCTGCCTTCTCATCTTGACTCTGGACAGGAGCTGCCCATTTCGTCTCATGTATCTACTTGAACTAAGAGGCACACTCCTCACGAATATCACTTTATGTCCCATAGTCCAGTCTAATCTTTGTCTGAAGAGTTGGCCTCGGGAATGGTTTCAGCTCTGGGCCAACAGAGAGTCTGGGGGCCACGTCTTCCAGGGCCCCTCCAGTCTCAGTCAAACCATTAAGTCTGGTCTTTTTACTAGTTTGAGTTCTGTACCCCATTTTTCTCCTGCTCCATCAGGCACCCTCTTGTGTTTCCTGTCAGGGCAGTCATTGGTGGTAGCCGGGTACCACCTAGTTCTTCTGGTCTCAGGCTGATGGAGTCTCTGGTTTATGTGGCCCTTTCTGTCTCTTGGGCTAATATTTTCCTATTGTCTTTGGTGTTCTTCATTCTCCTTTACTCCAGGTGGTTTGGGACCAACTGATGCATCTTAGATGGCCACTCGCTAACTTTTAAGACCCCAGACGCCACTCACCAAACTGGGATGCAGAACATTTTCTTAATAAACTTTATTATGCCAACTGACCTAGATGTCCCCTGAAACCATGGTCCTCAGACCCCTGCCCCTGCTACTCTGTCCCTCGAAGTGTTTGGTTGTATTCAGGAAACTTCTTAGCTTTTGGTTTAGTCCAATTGTGCCGACTTCCCCTGTAGTGTGTGTTGACCTTCCCTTCACCTGAGATAATTGTCTACTATCTAGTTAGTGAATTCCCGTCTCCCTCCCTCCCCACCCTCATAACCAGCAAAGAATGTTTTCTTCTGTGTTTAAGCCTTTTCTTGAGTTCTTATATTTGTCCTTTTGCGACTGACTGATTTCACTCAGCATAATGCCTTCCAGATTCATCCATGTTCTGAGATGTTTCATGGATTCGTTATTCTTTATCATTGCATAGTATTCCATTGTGTGACTATAACACAATTTGTTTATCCAATCGTCTGTTGATGGGCACCTAGGTTGTTTCCATTTTTTTACTATTGTGAACAGTGCTGCAATGAACATGGGTGTGCATATAGCTATTCGTGTGACAGCTCTTATTTCTCTAGGATATATTCCAAGGACTGGGATAGCTGGGTCGTATGGTACTTCTATTTCTAGCTTTTAAGGAAGCGCCAAATCGATTTCCAAAGTGGTTGTATCATTTTACATTCCCACCAACAGCGTAAAAGTGTTCCAGTCTCTCCCTAACCTCTCCAACATTTATTATTTTGTGTTTTTTGGATTAATGCTAGCCTTGTTGGGGTGAGATGGTATCTCATTGTAGTTTTGATTTGCATTTCTCCAATGGCTAATGATCGTGAGCATTTCCTCATGTGTCTGTTAGCTGCCTGAATATCTTCTTTTGTGAAGTGCCTATTCATATCCTTTGCCCATTTTTTAATTGGGTTTATTTGTCTTTTTGTGGCTGAAGTTTTGCATTATCTTGTAGACTTTAGAGATCCGACCCTGATCGGATTTGTCTCAGCCAAAACTTTTTTCCCAGTCTGTAGGCTGTCTTTTTACTCTTTTGGTGAAGTCTTTTGATGAGCCTAAGTGTTTCATTTTTAGAACTCCCAGTTATTTGTCTTCTTGCGTTTGTGCATTGTTACTTATGGTTTGTATTCTGTTTATACCATGTATTAGGGCTCCTAGTGTTGTCCTTATTTTTTCTTCCATGATCTTTATCATTTTAGATTTTATATTCAGCTCCTTGATCCATTTTGAGTTAGTTTTTGTGCACGATGTGAGTGAGGTATGGGTCATGTTCAATTTTTTGCAGATGGATATCCAGTTATGCCAGCACCATTTGTTAAAGAGACTGTCTTTTCCCCATTTAATGGATTTTAGGCCTTTGTCAAATATCAGCTGCTCATAGGTGGATAAATTTACGTCTAGATTCTCAATTCTGTTCCATTGGTCTATGTATCTGTTGTTGTACCAGTACCTGGCTGTTTTGACTACTGTGGTGGTATAATAGGTTCTACAATCAGGTAGTGTGAGGCCTCCCACTTTGTTCTTCATGAGCAATGCTTTGTTTATCCGGGGCCTCTTCCGTTTCCATATGAAGTTGGTGATTTGTTTCTTCATCCCCTTAAAATATGTTGTTGGAATTTGGATCGGGATTGCATTGTATCTGTAGATTGCTTTGGGTAGAACTGACATTTTCACAATGTCGAGTCTTCGTATCCATAAGCAAGGTATGTTTTTCCACTTATGCAGGTCTCTTTTGGTTCCTTGCAGTAGTGCCTTGTAGTTTTCTTTGTATAGGTCTTTCATGTCTCTGGTTAGATTTATTCCTAAGTATTTTATCTTCTTGGGGGCTACTGTAAATGTATACGGTGTTTTCCTCTTCGAAGTTCTCTTTGTTGGTGATTTTTGTATGTTTATCTTGTATCCCTTAGTCAGCTTTTTGATGGGTCAGACATTTACTCTTAGCAACAGACCTGCCCTGCTTGAGTTGTCTCCTTTATAGTTCTTGTTATTGTAAATGGCATTTTTGGTATTTTTTGAGATTAGTAGAACAAATCGCAATATGGAGGCTTGTATGTTGCTATGATGCTAAACAGGTGTCAGTGGAGCTTCTAGACTAAGATGGACTATGAAGAAAGTCCTGGTGATCTACTTCCAAAAATCAGCCAGTGAAAACCCTGCAGATCACAATGGTCCAGTTTGCAATCCATCATGGGGATGGTGCAGGACCTGGTAGCGTTTGGTTCCATTGTGCATGGTGTTGCCATGAGCTGGGGGCTGACTCCATGGCAGCTAACAATAAGAGCACAGCCATCACTATTAAGATTTTCCCACACTTAACTTCATTTATCCTTTTTCTTCTTATTATTTTAAAGCAAATTACAAACGCATAATTTTACTCCTACATAATTTAGTATGCATCTCTAATAAATGAACATTTTCTTATATCAGACCAATGCCACTATCAGGCTTAACAATAATTATTTTGTATTATCTAATATTCACATTTCCCCTATTGTCTCAAAAATGACTATTTACAGTTGGTTGTTCAACTCAGTATCTAAACAAAGTCTACCCGTTACATTTGTTTGTAGTGTATTTTCTTTTTTCTTGTCCTTTTTTTTAAGTGCCATTGAGCTGTGGAAAAAGTGGGTCAGTTGTTTTGTAGTCTGTTCTACATTCTAGATTTGTCTGTTACTTCCTCATATTATCACATGTTCTTCTATTCTCAGATTTCCTGTAAGCTAGAAGATGGGACTAGAGAATAGGATGGGAATAGGTCCACCTTCTTGGCCAAGAATATTTCTATAGCAGTACTGTGTACTTCATATTGCCTCACATCAATAGGCATATAAAAAACCCCAAAACCAAACCTGTTGTCACTGACTTGATTCCAACTTATAGTGACCCTGTAGGACTGAGCAGAACTGCTCTATAGAGTTCCAAGGAGTGGCTGGTGGATTCGAACTGTCAACCTTTTTGGTCAGCAGCTCTTAACCACTGTGCCACCAGGCCTCTACTAGGCATATAATACCTGGTTTTCCCACTTTTTTGTGATCAGTGGGTTCAGGCTGTATTAGCCTGATTCCTTCCATGTTAAATGTCTCTACCAGTTCTTTATCTAATTATGTTATAAATCACTCATTTTTCTTTAAGAGTTGAAAAATGGTGATCTTCTATCTGCGATTCCTTCAATGTTAGGTAGAGTTTTTCTGTAAAGACTTTTCCTGATCATAAGTGCTATTTGATTTCCTACAGAAAAGGCATGATAAACACTTAATTCTTTTTAATTGCCAATTTTCAGAGGAAGAAGTTGATGCCCTAATTACTTCTCATGGTGACCAAAGAGTTTTCTGGGTTTTTATCCCTTTCTCTTTCAATTTTCTTTCTCCTTGAATCTCTCTCTTGATACTCTTTGTCCACCATTATGAACTCAACAGCTTTTATATACTTAATGTTTTTCAATAAATTACTGTCATTATTCTTTTTGATGTTCAAACTGTTTCACCTTGGATAAATGGTATCTTTTAAAAAATTACATTTTCTTTTTAGTGAGATTCAAAAATTGAATGCTTGCAGAAAAGCATTCAATTTCTGAATCTTACGAAACTCTTATCTTTTCCATGATTTATTGCTAGATTCTTTTCTCATGGAATCGTACACTTTAAAAGGGTAAACTTTATGCTGTGAGTTATACCTCAATAAAGCTGTTATAAAAAAAGTAAATAAGTTCAAGACCTTGATTTACGTGGTGGTTACGCAAGTGCATACATGCTGAGGGTGCACTGTGGTTGGTTGTATCCTTAACAGAGGGTGTGTAAACTTCCTCAATTTAGTGAATGTTCAAGGCCTCAATTCTCTCTGTTCTGCTGATCTCAGAACCTCTGTGCAGCCTAGAGTTGAGATCACAAAGACTGTGCACAGATGGCAACATTTGGGACTTGTGGAGAAGTTAACCTGTGAAACTTGTAATGAAAAAACATTTTTACTAAATGAGTAATCTGAAATAGAAATGAACACAATTAGACTCAATATTTATTTAAGAAGAAAAAAGAGATGCTGGGTGTGCTGGTTAATGTTTCGTTGGCTTACTTGAGGGTCTGTGATCGGTATTGTCAGGCAGCTGCACTCCCATGCTTTGTAAAAGGTTGGAAGCAGGTCCTGCCAGTCCAGCCTGAGAGCTATAAGATTCCAATATATTTGAAACCAGGTTCAGGTCTACATCCACAGGTGACATAACAGATTCTCCTGCACCAGAATCTTCCTCATCTGAATTGTTATCGGCAGCCTGGGATAGAGGTTCCTTATTCATGGAGGAAAAAGAAAACCATGGGATAAGATCCCACTAGGTTGGATGGTAGTTACAATATTAAGCTAACTAGGCAACAAAGCAAATTTGAATTCCAAATTAAAAAGAAAATTTCCTATCCTTTATGATAGTGAAAATGAAGTTAATAAACTATGTAATTTAACATTCATACTAAAATTTAATTCCAGATTATAACACACTTCTTTCTAGGAAAAGTTTTCACAAATTGAATGAATTTCTCCCCTATTTTGAAATAGCCAAAGGGAGGTAACCAGAGTTAAGGTACATTTGTAACTTGCCTAAGAGTTTTAAAAGATGTAAATGTAAAATTAACATGAAAAAGAAAAAGACAATCTAAACTTTCTTCTAAAGGAAAGAAGCTAGATTCTTCCCCTGACAAAAGAAAGCTTAAAGTAAAAACCTGAGGCCTTGTGGAGTCCAACCATAAAGACTCTGAATTGTAACTTGGTCTTCTGATTTTACAGGTTAGGGAAAGGATCTAAAAAGATAGCAGCTCTTTATGTATACACCTTTATATCTTTGCTACTCAAACTGTGTTCTGTGGACCAATGGCATCTGCATCACTTGGGAGAGTGTCAGAAATGGAAAATCTCAGGCCTCATCCTAGACTCACTTGATTAGAATCTATATTTTAACAAAATCCTTAGGTGGTTCATATTCACATTAAAATTTAACAAATACCACTTTAGATAAATCTAACGTATGGTTTCTGTTAGCTTTGGGGAAAAACACTGGAAGTGATTATAGTTTTAAATATGGTTTCGATGATCAAAGCTAGGGGAATCAACTTTAACTAAGGGCCTAGTTTGAGTTTTACTGTTGTCTCATTTGGTTCTCATGATAATTCTATGATATAAGATTATTGGTTAATGGATAAATTCACAGTGGACGGCTGTGGTGGATTTCAAATGCTCATCCATGAGACTCCAGGGTGCGTGTTCTTTGCCTTTTCCTCTGTTTAGGGTTAGACACTGTTGGCCTGCCAGTGCTGGCATACAAAGTAGGATAAAAATGTGAGTGGAAGATGAATTCTAAATTGGCTCTAAATTAGGGAAACATACAAAACAAACAGTACTAACACTAGAAAGTTATTTGGATATTTAAGATCTTTTTTCAAAAAATGAATTTAAGCTCTTAGCAGTAGTAGTATGCTATTACGTTCTAATTTGAACATACTACATAGCTTTTTATTTTAAGTCCTGCTAGAATAAGTAATATAATTAAATTTATATTTAGGAAAATAAAGTTAATAATCCTTCTATCAGAGTTAGGAAAAATACTGAGATTCTTATTTATTTTAAATCTTACAAATTACAAACAACAAAAAAGGAAAATGAGAAAAAAAAACTAAGACAAAATATGGTCTTAGCTATCCTTCATAACAGACTCAGAAGGGAAAAGAGGTTAAAAACACACATACCACTTGCTTCTGGGTGGTGAAACTTTTGCCAATGCTGGTGTGTGCTAGTTCCTGGTCCATCTGGGCCATGTATGACTTCAGATTATCAAGAGCTCCTTTCAGAGATGCCTCTTCTCCAGGCTCTTGGGTTTCAAGGTCCAAGTCATCATCACTGTCTAAACATTCAAAGTCTTCCTCATCCAGATCATCAGAATCGGATTCATGAGGCCCTGGGCCTACAAAACCATGAAAAGAAACAGCCACTTAGTAATTTTTTGTTTTGAGTGATTACACCTCTCAAAAGAATTCGAATGCTAGCTGCAGAAAGGGACCAATTTACACAGCTAAACTACTAGACAAAAATCCCTTCCATAAAATGGTAATGCTGGCAGACACTTGCAGAAAAGTATACAGGTTGAGTAGAAAGATTCAGTTTTAAAAAATATGTATAAATTCAATTGATTAAAAGTTTGTTTGTTTGTTTTTTAAATTAAAAGCTACATAATACATGAATACATTTTGATGTAAACATTCAAGCCACACAGAAATATTGCCTCACATCTACTCTCTTCTTGGAGGTAAATATCTTTTAACAGTTTGGTAAGTATCCTGACCTTTGTCAATGTAGTTCTGTGTATATATATACATATGAACACATAGTTCTCTTTTTTACATAGATGATATCATATATAAATGTTTTGCTTTTTCACTAATTTACATGTCTTGGAGGTCCCTGTCTATCAGAATATATAGATGGACCATTAATAAAGGCTGCATTGTATTTCATAATACAGATGTACCATGACTTATTTAACCATTTCCCTCTTGGTGAACATTTAGGATACTCAAATTTTTTGCTATTAAAAATGTTGCAATAACCATCTTAGACATAAAATCTTTTTAAAAAAATGGAACACAGCCAATTTTGACATATCTTTTTCACAGAGTAAACTCCTGAATGTAAAATTGCTAAGTCACAGAACTTGCATTCTAGAATGTCAAACTGCTCTGCAAGAAGGCATCTTCTTAGTCTTCTACCCCCAGAGTTGGGGAGTGTTCATCCTCTGACCCTTGGGAAAACTGGGTATTATCAACCTTTTAAATTTTTGTCAATTTGATGGGCAAAAAAAAACTTATTTTTATTTTGCATCTACTTGATTATTAATGACATTTAGCTATTTTCAAGCATTTACTGACTGTTCATATTCCTTCTTCAGCGAACTGCCTGCTCATACCCTTTGCTGATTTTTGGGGTGTTTTCTATTGGGCTGTATGCCTTTTTCTTATTGATCTGTAAGTACAGTGAGTCTAAAGAGAAAAAGCAATATACTATGGAAGCCAAGGTACAACCCTTCCTAAACATACAAGATTCATTCATTCAACAAATATTTATTGAGCAGCTACTATGTCAGGCACTGAGCTAGACATCCTCTGCAAAATCATTCAATAGGGCAGTAATACCATGGTTGAAAGTAATCAAAACCATAAAGAGAAACCAAACATTCTGGCTTCCAAGAGATCCAATGCTCCAGCAACAGTCATGCTACTTACAGTTTCAAAATGAAAGAAAACACTGCACTGTAACTTACCTAAAATCTTATCAAAATAGTTAAGAAAAGCATCTGTGTCAAAAGTGATTGGAGCCTCAGAAGGTTCTCTGCAAGATTAAAGGCAAAAAAATAATTAACTTTCCTGAATACAATTCTTTAAAACTTTTTCTAATGTGCTGCTACTCTTAGGGAAACTACCAGAGATGATTTCAAAAGAGGTACAGCAAGAAAAATTACAGTTTAAATTTTAAGAATTCTTACGCTTACTTGCCTTGCAGGGCAACAGAAATGGGAAAGTCTGATAAAAGAAAAAGTTGCACCTTGTTTACGCACCTGTAATTTATGCTGACTTTAGGACCTACCCACTCTCCACCCCCCACAATATATATCTAGCACTAGCAACAGTGGTTTATCTGAGTTAAATAAAGTCTATCTCTTTAAGAACCAAAACTTAACAAATACATAAGGACACAGTTTCCCTCATCTCTGCTTTCTTAAAGAGAAAATACTGAACATAAATTTTAGTCTTTTCTTGAGGCTCAAGAGCAACAACACTAACAAAGACATATTTGCTGTATAGTGACAGGGCTACCTTCCTTTTTTTCCTGTTACTTAATGTAATTTACGTTTCATTTCTGTTTCTGGCAGATCCCTTCCTTCCCCTTTGAGTCTGTAGCTCCCAAGCTGCTGTGAAGTGGGAGGTCAGAAGTCTGGGCTTGTTAAGAGTCCATGAATCTCTGAATAAAAATCTAAGGTGTGAAGGACCTGACTTCTCTGCAGGGGTCTGGGATTGTCTTACTTCAACGATTGCAAAGGATGGGGCTGCTAGAAGTCTGACACCAGATAAGTAAGTTATCACCGTACTAGGCACCAAACGAGGGAAACGAAATAATACAACTCCTTCATTTAAAGAGTGGAAATGGCAATAACTGGATGACTTCAACATTTGGCTTATTACTATTTAGATAATTATACTTCAATACAAATTATATACCGAGGTAGTTCTGCTCCCTTGTGGGTTGAGACTTTAGATATGAAAGCTTTCATGCTCTCTGAGACTTGAGTTAAGTCATAGTTCTGCTCTTCGCCCTTGGAAATGAGCTCTGACTCTTTTTTGCCAGCAGCTTCCTGCAGGAGCTGATCCAGCTGATCTGGTGAGAGATCTAACCACTGGTCATCTGAAAAAGGAGAAAGCGTGATATTGCCATACTACAGTCACATGACAGGTACTCTTGGGCAAGAATACTGACTCACCAGAATGTTTTATTTCTTTATAATCTTGCCACTCTATCCTGATCCATCACTTACCATCCTCGGGGGGAAGATTAGCTTCTTCTTTCTTAAGGTCTTCTATGTCAAATGGTGTTGTCTGTAATAAGGTTAAGATTTCTTCACCTGGGCTCATTGCAAGGGAGCTATGTAAAATAAAAGACATGGGTATTTCTTTATATAAGAGCCTAGAACAGTGTCTTAGTCATCTAGTGCTGCTATAACAGAAATACCACAAGTGGATGGCTTTACCAAAGGGAAGTTTATTTCCCCGCAGTAAAGTAGGCTAAAAGTCCAAATTCAGGGTGTCAGCTCCAAAGGAAGGCTTTCTCTCTCTGTCAGCCTTCTTCTCATCAGTGTTGCCCGACTAAGAGCTTCTCTGCGCAGGGACCCCAGGTCCAAAGTACGTGCTCTGCTCCTGGCACTGCTTTCTTGGTGGTATGAGGTACCCCTGTCTCTCTTTTATAGCTCAAGAGATGGCCTCAGAACACAGTCCAACCTTGTAGATTGAGTCCTGCCTTACTAACACAACTGCCACCCATCCTCCCTCATTAACATCATAGAGGCAGGATTTACAACATAGAGGAAAATCACACAATACCAGGAATCGTGGCCCAGCCAAATTGACACACACATCTTCTGGGGGACATAATTCAATCCATGACAAATAGTAATCACAAAAACATAGTATGTTAAAGCTGGAAGGGATTATCTAACCTAATAATTGTTTTAAAACTTTAGTTATCAGACTCCTTTTTCCCAATCAAATTTTACCAGGAACGCTGAAATATAGAACACCAGGAACTCCAAAATATAGAAGAGTTCAAAGAAAAACTGCTTTGGCTGAAGTGGAGGTTGGAGGCTCAGAGACCTACCTATTTTGCCCTCTACTCTGGTTCTTCTGCAGATTCCTAGGGCTCCATGGAACCACTATGAAGCCACTGATCTAGTACAACCCCTTCAATTTACATGTGAGGAAAAGAAGACCCAGAGGGAAAAGTATGAGCTAAAATTAATCTAGCATTTATTATATGCCAGGCTAGCACTATAAATACATTTTCTTATTTAGTCCTCTAATTACTATAATGAGGAGGTAATAATTCTGTTTTACAGATGAGGAAACCAGAGCTCAAAGAACTTCTTTAACTTTTGCAAGGTCATTTAGTTGGACAGAGCAAAGGCTTGAAATCAAGTCTCCTTAACTATCTTGTGCTCCTTCTAATATAAACCAGTGAGAAAATACACACAGAGATTTATTTACGATGAGTAAGTTATTCTATGATGGTGATTTGAACTTGTTATATAAACCTTTTTATATATAAAATTTTATTAACTTTATCTTTATTGTTGAGAATATACACAGCAAAACAAACACGAATTCAACAGTTTCTACACGTACCATTTAGTGACATTGATTACATTTTTCAAGTTGTGCAACCATTCTCATCCTTCTTTTCTGAGTTGTTCCTCCCCCATTAACATAAATTCACTACCCCCTAAGGTTTCCATCCAATCTTTCGAGTTGCTGTTGTCTGTTTGATCCCATATAGATAATTCTTAAAAGAGCATAATGCTTACGGCAGCCCTTTTTCACTAGTTAAGCTAAGCTGTTGTTTGGTTTTTAAGAAGACTTCAGGGGATATTTTTGGTTTAAGGTTTAAAGATTATCTCAGGGCAATAGTTTCAGGGATTCATCCAACCTTCATGGATCCAGGATGTCTGGAGTCCATGAGGATTTGAAATTTTGTTCTGCATTTTTACCCTTTTGATCAGGATTCTTCTGTGGAATCATTGATCAAAATGTTCAGTAATGGTAGCCGGACACCATCCAGTTCTTCTGGTTTCATGAAAAAGGAGGCAGTTGTTCATGCAGGCAAATAGCCACACATTCCATATCCTTCTCCTGTTTCTGTCTCTCCTCCTTCCCCTGTTGTTCCAGGTGAAAAGAGACCAATTGTTATATAAATTGATGGAATCCTTCTAACCTGTTTGACTGGAGTGAATCAAGGTTGCATAATGGACTTGTATTCATTTTCTTTAAAAATATTTACATACCTTGTTAAAAGTAGTCACATTGTAAAAAATGGTCTATTAGAATTTTTTTTCTATTGTGATTTAGGTGAAAGTTTACTGAGCAAATTAGTTTCTCATTAAACAGTTAATACACAAATTATTTTGTGACATTAGTTGCCAACCCCAAGATGTGTCAACATTCTCCCCATCTCCACTCCAGGTTCCCTGTTTCCATTTGTCCATTTTCCTGTCCCTTCCTGCCTTCAAGTCTTTGCTTTTGGGCTGGTGTGCCCATTAGTCTCATACACATGACTAAACTATGAGGCATGTCCCTCACATGTGTTATTGGTGGCCCTACAGACTTGTCTAATCTGGCTGAGTCTATTAGAAAAATTTAACACACACTGAACTGTACATGTGAAAATTGTTGAAATGGCAAATGTTTTGTTACCTATATGTTTACCACAAAAGAAAAGTGTATTAAAAAATTTATATAGAGTATATAAATTAAAAAAAATCAACTGCGTAAGGGGAAAAAACCTTGGAAGGCAGAAAACCAAAAGAATAACAGCGACTGATTCTCTGGTATACATTTTTGATTTCTTACATCTTTCTATATTTGATATAATGAACGAATGTGTTACTTTTGTAACAATAAACAAACTTTATTATTTAAAAAAGAGAGCCACCCAACCACCAACCTATCTTATTTAGCCAGAGGAGCCCTAACTCTCCTATGAACTGAGTCTTTCTACTTTCTTAACTTCACTCTAACCCAAGACTGTAAGGTAATGCTTCTTAATAGGGTAGTGGTCCCCTAAGGGTGTATCAGAATCATCTAGGGGGTTCTCCTAATTATGGGGGTCATCACCATTACTCTTCTAACTTCTTCCCTCAAATTTTCTTAAATGATCCCCTAAGAAGGCATCCTCTTTTCTACCAATTACTGCCACAAAACTGATGGGAGTGGGACAAAGGCACATTAACATTTCAGACAGCTGTGAGGTCAGAGCCTTCTCAGCAGCAACTCTGTTCACAGTCTTCAAAGAATATTCTATTACATGAAGATATGGTGTTTGAGATGTTGGCAAAACATTCAGGTGGCAATGTAAGTGTAAGCTGGGGTTCAAAACCAGATCAGATTGACAGACTGACTCAAAAAAAAAACAAACCCCAAAACAAAAACCACACACACACACATACCTCAGGACCTTTTAAACCAGAATATACAAAGCTCCTTCTCTTATATTATTTAATAGCTATAAGTATCTCAAATTCAAATTTGTGACCATCAACTGAATTTTTTCCAATAACAAAGACCTTCGATTCCTCAGCCTAAGACTGTGCTTTCTGCTTGAGCTCTATTTCCTTTGTGCCATACAGACTGGGAAGTGCCCTCAGGGGCTTATCAGATAAATGGAGACCTCCCCCTTCTTTTAAGGATCATATTATCTTCAATTTCTGCCTGCTTTTGTTGCTCTCCAGTGTCTCCAAACAGTTGTTTTTTATATTTTGTCCAGGGTTCGTAATTGTAATCCATAGGCATATAGTTCAGTGTAAGTTACTCCACCATTTCCAGAACTGAAACTCAACTTTACCGAACTTTAAAGGGGTGCCATTTCCTTCTAACCCTGTGTTCATTTCTTTTTTTCCTCCAGGAAATGTATGGCACGTTAGGTTGAGATTCGATTTGGAGGCAGAATGCCTGCTGCTTCCTATGTTTCAGCCCCATCTAAAATAGCTAACCATAGTCCAGAACTCCTACAGAAATCAAGCACATGGCTCAATAGCAAAATTCTTAGGTTCAAATCCTAGGTCTGTCACTTATTAGCTTGTGATCTCGGGCAGATTACTTAATCTCTCTTGGCCTCAGCTTTTCCAGTTATAAAATGGGAATAATAAAAGTACTTATTTCACAGGGCTATAAGGGAGAATTAATGAGTTAAAGTGACTGATACTTCTAAGAACTCAGTAAATGTTAGCTATTTTATTATTATTATTAGGCCTGCTACTGCCAGCAATCTTCTGTAGAACACATCCTCTCCCAGAATCCCAGCCCTTTCACTAGTCATTCTGCTGTTCCTTGCCATGATCTGTTTAAATACGGGAGCTCCAACATCTGCACCTATCTCAAGAGTAAGTAACTCCTTAACTCCCGGCAAGCTACTACTCTGCTATGTTTAGGCAGTCATAAACTCACCTTTCTGGCTGGTTTACTGAGACTTGGAAGTAGTTCTTTGCCATTTCTAGCTTTTCTTGGTACTGAGCAGAGCCTTCTATCAGTCCCTTGAAAAACAATAATAGTCTATCAGAACATTATTTACATGGTGTTATTACACTAACCTGTGCATCAGCAACTCTCAGGGAGGCAGTGTGTGATATAATATGTTGCCCAGGAATCATGAGGCTCAAGTCTTACAGGGACTCCCTTAATAGTTCCTGTTTGGGCTTCAGTGTCTTCAAATGAGGGGACCAGGCTAGATGTAGTGGTTCCTAATCCTTTTATCCTAATTTCTAATTCTTTCCAATTTGGAAGATGTACTACCATTTAAAAAAGTATTTAATTAGTTATAATTAAGATATAATTACACCTACTCTTCACTTATTGACTATCTCACTATCCGACATTTCGCATTTACGACAATAGTAAAAAATCTACTATCCAACTATTCTGCGCATTAATGACATAGTCTGGCAGTAACGAACATGAGAGTAATGTTGGCTGTGATGGTTAAGGTAATGTGCCAACTTGGCTGAGCCATGATTCTCAGTGATTTGGCAATTATGTAATGATGTAATTTGATATTTGTGTAATGATGTAGTCATCCTCCATTTTTCCATAACACTGATTTTTGTATAACAACATGGTCTTTGGAACCTACCATGTCGATAAGTGAGAAGTAGCGTAATTAGTAGGTTACAAAACACAGCATTACATAAAGTTTGCGACATACAATCAAAAAGTAGCATAATCCCATCTTAACTATCATTTCTGTTTTTTACATGCATGTTTTTAATAGCAGTCATTCTCGATGTTTTATAGTCTTCAAAAAACATACTATTGAGTCCCTGATGGAGCAGGATAAAAGTGGGTACAGAACTCAAATTCTAGTAAAAATACCAGACTTAATGGTCTGAGACTGGAGGAACTCCAGAAATCATGGCCCCTGGACTCTATGTCAACCCAGAACTAAAAGCATTCCTGAGTCCAGCTCTTCAAAGATTAGACTGGACTATGGGACATAAAACGATACTTGTGAACAGTGTGCTTCTTAGCTCAAGTAGATACATGAGACTAAATGGGCAGCTCCTGTCCAGAGGTGAGATGAGAAGGCAGAGAGGGTCAGGAGCTGGTTGAATGGACACAGGAAATCAGGGGTGGAAAGGAGGAGTGTGCTGTCACAGTACAGGGAGAGCAGTCAGGGTCACATAACAACGTATGTATAAATTTTTGTATGAGAGACTAAGTTGCATTGTAAACTTTCACTTAAAGCACAATAAAAAAAATACAGTAATAAGCACTTTTCATATTGCCGCACAGTCTTTATAATCATATTTTATGGACTTCTTCACTTCTTAGATGTTTTAAAATAGATTATTCAAAGTGAACTTCTGAGTCATGGTTGGAATCTGAATTTTTTTTTTTGGTTTGAACCTTTCTATAGCTCTTGGAAACACTACCAAATTACTTTTCAGTAAGGTTCCACCAATTTATAATGTTACAAGCAATGTACAGGAGTATTAATTTCACCATACACTCAATAACACTGAGTATCATTCATATCCTTTTTATACAGGTAAAAAACAGTTTTCATTATTTTTTTAAATTGTGTTTTAGGTGAAAGTTTACAGCACAAATTAGTTTTTCATTCAAAATTAATACACAAATTGTTTTGTGACATTGGTTGCAATCCCCACCATGTGTCAGCACTCTCCTCCTTTCCCTTTTCACCCTGGATTCCTCATGTCCAACTATCCAGTTTTCCTGTCCTTTCCTGCCTTCTCATCTTTGCTTTTGGGTAGGTGTTGCCCATTTGGTCTCGTATACTTGATTGAACTAAGAAGCACATTCCTCACATGTGTTACTGTTTGTTTTATAGGCCTGTCTAATCTTTGGCTGAAAGGTGGACTTTAGGGGTAGAGTCAGTTCTGAGTTAGTAGGGTGTCCAGGGTCCATAGTCTTAGAGGTTCCTCCAGTCTCTGTCAGACCAGTAATTTGAATTTTATTCTGTATTTTTCTCCCACTCTGTCCATGACCTTCTATTGTGATCCCTGTCAGAATAGTTGGTGGTGGTAGCTGGGCACTGTCGAGTTGTTCTAGGCTCAGGCTGGTTGACACCGTGGTTCATGTGGTCCATTAGTCCTTTGGACTAATATTTTCCTTGTGTCTTAGGATTTCTTCATTCTCCTTTGCTCTGAACGGGATGGGACCAATAGATGGCCGCTTGCAAGCTTTTAAGACCCACATGCTACTCACCAAAGTAGGATGTAGAGCATTTTCTTTATGAATTATGTTATGCCAATTGACCTGGATGTCCACCAAGACCACGGTCCCCAGCCCTCAGCCCCAGTAACTCAGTCCCTCAAGGTGTTTGGATATAGTTTTCATTATTGTCTTCAAATGCATATCTTTACTACTAGTGAGGATGAATACTTTAAGTCCCCTAGCTGTCTTTTTGTAATCTTTTTATCCATGTTTTTACTGATTTATCTATTTGGTGACTTCATGTTCGTCTTACCAATTTGTGCAAACTGCTCACCTGATAAAAACACTAAATTTTATCATTCGCTACAGATATTATTGGTTTTTCTAAAATACTGAAAACAGTTTGTAGACACTCCCTCATTACCAACTTCAAAGACCCTAAGTTGAGTACCAATGAGTCATCTTCTATGGTTGTGTTATATATTACATAGTGACCACAGGATTTTAAATCACTGCCTTGATATTTAAAAATAACATACATCACAAGTCCTACCTTAAAGTAATCATTCTTTTTCAGACTGTCAAGGAAGCCAGGCCATAGTGGTGAAGTAGTAACGAGGGATTTCTTAGAGTCAGAAAAATGTGGGCTACTTTTGGAGCACAAGATCTCAAATCCATGAGCCTAGATGAGATAGTTAAGAATTTTTATTAAGTTATTTTCTTTCATTTAGCTCCACTCAAGAACTAGGTGACTAGACACATGGACATGTGAACATTTATATAACTTTTTAAATTTTATGAAAAATTTGAATTTCCAAGTTTTTTTAATCTCTGTAATTACTAAAAACTATAAAGTGAAAACAAATAACACAAAATAAAGAATCTTCTCTCTCTTTAAAGAGTTTTTTTTTCCTGCCAATTATAAAATGGGAAATTTAAACTTATTTCTTGTTTGCTTAAGAAAAGGCTTGCAAAAGGTTTCTTGTCTAACAAATTACAAATAAACTGAGCACGGTCTCAGACATAGCAATGAAAGGGAATCACTTCATTTTCAGAGTCCTTTAATCAAAAATATACATTTAAAAAATAAGTAATAGATGCACATGGAAAAATAATTTAAACAGGGAACTTCCCTGATCACTCCAGAACAAACTACTACCACCAATTTCTTGCATATCCTTTCAGAAGTAATCTATGCACACAAGCATATATGCGTGTGTGTCTGTGTATGTATATCCTCACAGTCTACTCCTTTTGACATTAAATGGCAGTACACACTGTTCTACACCTTGCTTTTTTCACTTAACCATATGCCTTGTAGATCACTACATATGAGCACATACAAATTTATCCATTTCACTTTGTGGCTAGATAATTTATTTAACTATTCCCTACTAATGGACATTTAGGTCGTTTCCAATTTTTTGCTACTACAAATAATGCTGTCATAAGTATCCTCATATACACATCTTTGTGCACATGTAAAATATATAGTGGATAAATTCCTAGAAGTGAAAATGCTGAGCAGAAGGGTGTGTGTATTTTAAATGTTGATAGATATTGCCAAATTGTTCTTCTAACAGACTGAATCAATTTACATTTCTACCATCAATGTTTGAGAGCATCTCTTTCTCTATATTCACCACACTAACCCAGGATATTATAAAATTTTTTGATATTTGCCAATTTAATGGTGAAAAATATTATCTTATAGCTTTAAATTGCACTTCTTTTATTATGAGCAAGGTTCAACATTTTTCATATGTTTGAATTAAAAGTCATTTGTATTTCCTTTTTTGCGGACTGTTTATGGCTTGTGAACATTTTTCTATTAATTGATTACTGTTTTTTCATACTGACTCACAGGAATTCTTTACATAAAAGGGAAATCAGCTGTTCGTCATTTACATTGCAAATATAACACCGTCTCAGGTTGAATATCTTTTGACGTCATTCATGGAGTTTTTCTTTCCCTCGTAAGAAAGGCCTGGCAATCTACTTCCAAAAAATCAACCGCTGAAAACCCTATGAAGCAGAATTCTACTGACACACATGAGATTGCCTGAGTTGGTACTGACTTGACAGCAACTGGTTTTCTTTCCTACGCAGAAATGTTTAATTTTTATATAGCCAAATTTATCAATCTTTTCTTTATAGCTTCTAGTTGTAATTCATACTTAGAAAGACTTTTCCTATTCAGAATATTAAAAATCATCCTGCATTTTCTTTCAATTTTAATGGTTTCAATTTTTACATTTAAATATTTGATCTAACTGGAATTTATTTTGGTATAACGTATAAGAGAGTCAATTCTAATTTTTCAGACGGTTTCCCAGTTGTCCTATCATCATTTACTGAAGAGTCAACTGTTTTCTTCTGATTTGAAACGTCACATTTTATGACAATCTCATATAAACTGGGCATATTCCTAGACTTTCTACACTGTGCCACTGGTTTGATAAGAGTACTTTTACACATAAAAGAAAATAAAATTTTTGGTTCAACATCACCAATTTCATGCCCAATTCATGGGCTCGGTACTGGGGATGAGATGGAGGAGGCAGCTGGTATCCACTCCGCCGGTCTGGTACAAACCTTTGTTGTGCCAACTGTGCATACAGGCACTTAGTGAAGGTGACCTGGACATTGGAACACAAAACACGTAAGTCTTTTCCCAAAAATGATATTTGAGTATCATTTCATAGTTAAATATAGCAATAGCTCCATTTATGAGCTTTATTTCATAGATGAAATGTAAAGAAGAGTCAAACTATTCACTGCCTGCTTTTTTTTTTTAACAGCTTTTTATTGAGATTTAATTGAAATGCCATACAATTCGCCCTCATTGCCCACTTTTTAGTTATCACTAGCGGAGTTCCTACCATTAGTTCCTACATTATATGGCACTTTGGGGAGTAGAAGACAAAGAATAATTATCAATTCTCTGGAAGAGAGAAAACATTTTATTAAGAGGCAAATAATTCAAATAGGGAAAGTATGGTCAAAACATAGCTAGGACATATTGAGGTATAAAATGGGGAGTCAGGTCTCTCGAACAAATCTTCCTCCACTGGGAGGGAGAAAAGAAAAAATAAAAAAATGTGTATTAGCTTGCTATGAGTAAACGGAATATTTGTAATTTTTCCTAGCAAACAATTAAAATAATGTTTCGATTCTCTTTCTGGTGAGAGAAACTAGATGACCAAGAGAGATATCTTACCGATGTCATTATTCGTGTGTCAGGTAAGAATGTTTTGAAAACTCGACAGGCTCGCAGGTCAAAGGGGTCCCGCAGGTAAAATGCCTGGACTGCTGCAGCCACCAATCTGGGGCGCTGCTTTAGCACTACTGCAATGCCAGCTGGAAGGAAGCAGTGGGCTCGATGAAGGGAGGCTTGAATTTTTTCTGGGTACCTATGATAGACAACATTATTGTTTTTGTTTTACGTAAAAATCTAGAATTCTCATACCACCTACCAACCTCCTTAATATCTTGTCTTGTTTCATCGACAGAGTAACAAAGTGAAGATAAAGATACTGTATATACTTAAATTAGAGGAGAGAAGAAAGGGAAAGAGAAAAAGTAGGAAAACAAAGCAAAGGAATTCAGGCAGTTCAATAAAACCAAAACGAAAAACCTAGTATACTATGGAACAAGAATGAAGTCAGAGCTTATTCTTCTAAAAAATGGTAAAAAGTATATTGAAACAAAGCTAAAAGATTTAAAAGACCCGAATGGTGCTACACAACGGTATTCAAATACTGAATGGCTGAACTAGTATGTTATTAGGCTAAGACCTTCTCTTCTGAATGAGGCCTAAAGTATTTCACATAGGCCAAAGAATCCCATATTTAGTACCAGAACCACAGAAGAAACTGAGCACATTGTGCTCTCTTAGGTTTTCATTCTTAAAGGTCTCATTTTTTTTTTTTTCATCTACAGACATAGATAATACTCAGCCACAATATCTAAGGTGAAAAAAACGCAAAAATATTAGGACTAGATTATAACACTTTTCAATGGGACTTATTAAAAAATCTGTTTCTTGGTTTTAAAATCTGAGAAAATATTGTAAGTTTAATTAGTCAGTCAATTTGATGAAGAAGAGGAATAAAGACAGAAAGAAAACTAGAATTTATCTAGGTGAAAGAAATTCTATATGCAATGAAAGACTGAACTGCATTAAACCAAAAGGCTCCTCAACTAGCAAAGGAAGTTATATTTTTCTTACTCTCTGATGCGCCTATTCACAGCAGCTCGTATAGATTCTGAAGCCAAAATCTTTTCTGGGTGTGTTGAGATTATATTCAATGCTTGTGGGATTGTTGGGGTTGTGGTGGGTAACCAGGATATTGCTCTGGGTTTCCTTGGTGCTGGAATAATGCACAACTCCCCATGGTGGAAAAATACCTAAAAAATGATACATTTTCATTTCCATACTTGGCACTGGCAAATTCTAGATATATATGAAAATACTGCAACATGATTTCATCTCTGACAATTTTCTGAACTTGGGTATACTTACCCTATTGGTACTGTTATCAGGATCTAACCATTTAGGAAGAAAGTCAGCCGCTTCTATCAACAAGAATTCACCATCATTGTCTTCAATCCTAATGCAAAATAATTTCCAATTTCACATTCAAAAAGCACATATTTGTTAGTAATCAAAACAATTTTACTCTAATACATTGTTTTCTTCATCTTAGTAAATATTTGAGTATGTATTATGTAAAATTTGCTATTAAGAAAGCAAAATGTCAGAGGCAGGGACAACGTGGCGCTACAGACAGAAGCACCACACCGCCCTTCCACAGCAAAGAACTGAAAAACTAAGTAAAACAGAGACAAACATCAATCCTGGAACTCTAAGCATCAAGCGAAGAGATAAAGAAATCAACCAAGCACAGAACAGAATAAGAAACTGACAGAGAACAGAGAGCGAGGAGAGATACAGAGTGGAGGTCCCCTATCAGCTAACACAGCACCAGTTAGCCATCTTGGACTCCTGTCGGAGATGTGCATACAGGGAGTATGGGAAGGCAGCTTCACGGAGCTCCCAGCAGGAGACAAAGCACCCACTGGACCTGCCCTGCTGCACCATAGCCGAGTGACTAGCCCTGCACATTGGGCAAGGTGGTGAGAAGTATCATACCCACAGACGAGCAAACAACAAAGAACACTCAGACCACCTGCTCAGACATAACCAAATAAAACAAAAAAGCAGGACGAGACAAACAAACCTACAATCATTAAATGGACAAAATAACTACTGAATGTCCCGAAGACAGCAGACAATATCAAAACATATTAAAAAAAACAAGACAGGATGGTTCCAGTAGGCATCTAAAATAAAACATCAGGTGACTTTCCAGTGGAAGAAAAGGCACTGGAACTACTGGATAAGGAATTCAAATCTCTAATATTCAGAGCTATCCAAGAGTTGAAGGAAAAAACAGATAAAAATAAGGAAAAAATAGACAAAATCACAGAAACTACAGACAAAAACATGGAAGAATTCAGGAAAATAATACAGGAACAAAATGTTAAAATAAATTCACAACTAGAAATCATACAAAAACAGTAACTACAAATCTAAAAGATAAACAAGAAGATTTCAGAAATGGACATTGTCATAGAAGGTTTGACGAGCAGGTTTGAAACAATGAAAGACAGGATCAGCAAAATGGAAGACAAATATTTGGATATGACTCTGTTTGAGGAAAAATCATAAAAAAGAACGAAGAAAAACGAAGAAACTCTGAGAATGATGTGGGATACAATCAAAAGCAAAAATGTACGAGTGATCGGAGTTCCAGAATGGGGGAGAAAATGGAAAACACAGAGAGGATCACTGAAGACCTCCTGACAGAAAACTTCGCTAATATCATTAAAGATGAAAAGCTGACCATCCAAGAAGCTCAACAAACCTCATATAGAATAGACCCCAAAAGAAAATCACCAAAGCATATTATAATCACACTCGCTAAGATAAAAGACAAGCAAAGAATTCTGAGAGCAGCTCAAGAAAAATGAAAAGTCACACACAGAGGAGAAACAATAAGACTAAGCCCTGATTACTTGGCAGAAAACATGCAGGCAAGAGGGCAATGGGATGACATATACAAAAACTTGAAAAAAACAATTGTCAACCAAGAATAACATATCCTGCAAAACTCTCATTCATATATGATGATGAAATTAGGACATTTCCAGATGAACAGGAATTAAGGGACTATGTGAAAACCAGACCAAACTTACAAGAATTATTAAAGGGAATCCTTCAGTTTGTGAACAAACAACATCAGACAACAGACTGAATCTAGGATGCAAGACCACACCAGCCAGATATCAACCTAGGAAATGAACTCTCAAGGATTAATCGAAACTAAAACTCTCAAGGATTAATTACAACAAGGAACCAGACAGGTTAATCTGTAAAAGACAACAACATCAGAACAATAAAAGAAGGACAAAAGGGTGTAGGTACAGAACTTCCTAATGGAGAGGAAGGCAAGGTGACACCAAGTAATAAAAGACTAGTTCATACCTAGGAAGTAAAGGGCAAATTTCAAGGTAACCACAAAGAAAGTTAACAAAACTGCTCATCAAACTTACTCAAGAAGAAAAGCATAAAGTCTCAGTAAAGATAAAATCTACAAAAACAAAAGAAATGAAACAAAATCTGCAAAAAAAAAAAAAGAATTCAGCACAGGACAGTAAGAGGGACAAAGAAAACGTCAGCACCACGAAAAAAAAAAGCACTACAAAATGACAGCAGTAAACTCACACCTATCAATAATTACACTGAATATGAATGGCCTAAATGCACCCGTAAAGAGACAGAGAGTGATAGAATGAATTAAAAAACAGGATCCATTAATACGCTATCTACAAGAGACACACCTTAGAAACAAAGACGTAAATTTATTAAAAATCAAAGGATGGAAAAAAATATATCAAGCAAACAACTACCAGAAAAGAGGAGGAGTAGCAGTATTAATCTCAGATGAAATAGAGTTTAAAACAAAATCCATCATAAAAGACAAAGAAGAGCATTATATAACGATTAAAGGGCTGATCCATCATGAAGTCATAACCATAATAAATATCTAGGTACCCAATAACAGGGCTCCAAAATACATAAAACAAACTCTAACAGCGCTGAAAAGAAAAATTGATAGTTCCACAATAATAGTAGGGGGCTTCAACACATCACTCTCGGTAAAGGACAGAACGTCTAGAAAGAAACTCAACAAAGATTCAGAAGATCTAAAGGCCACGGTCAGAGCCAACTTAAACTCACAGATGTATACAGAACACTCCACCCAACAGCTGCAAAGTACACATTCTTTTCCAACACACATTCTCCAGAACAGACCACATCTTAGGCCACAAAGCAACCCTCAACAAAATCCAAAACACTGAGATGATACAAAGTATCTTCTCTGATTACAATGCCATCAAAGTAGAAATTAACAACAGGAAGAGCAGGGAAAACAAAATCAATTACATGGAAACTAAATAATACCCTGCTTAAAAACCACTGAGTAACAGAAGAAATCAAAGATAGAATAAAAAAATTTCTAGAATCAAATGAGAATGAAAACACATCATACCAAAACCTTTGGGACACAGCAAAGGCAGTGCTCAGAGGACAATTTATAGAAATAGATGATACAAAGTATCTTCTCTGATTACAATGCCATCAAAGTAGAAATTAACAACAGGAAAAGCAGGGAAATAATGAAGATGAGAGCAGAAATAAATGAAATAGAGAATAGAAAAACAATAGAAAGAATCAACAAAACCAAAGTTGGTTCTTTGAAAGGATCAACAAAATCGACAAACCACTGGCCAAACTGACAAAAGAAAAAGAGGAGAGGATGCAAATAACCCAAACAAATGAAATGGAGAACACTACTACAGACCCAAGTGAAATAAAAAGGATCGTAACAAAGTACTATATAAAACTATACTCCAACAAATTTGAAAACCTAGAGGAAATGGACAAATTTCTAGAAACATACTACCTACTGTCATGGATTGAATTATGCCCCCCCAAAAATGTGTGTATCAATTTGGCTGGGTCATGATTCCCAGTATTGTGATGTTGTCCTCCATTTTGTGATTGTAATTTTATGATAAAGAGGATCAGGGTGGGACTGTAACGCCCTTACTAAGGTCACATCCCTGGTCCAATGTAAAGGGAGTTTCCCTGGTGTGTGCCCTGCATCACCTTTTATCTTACAAGAGATAAAAGGAAAGGGAAGCAAGCACAGAATTGGGGATCTCATACTACCAAGAAGGCAGCGCTGGGAGCAGTGTGTCCTTTGGTCCCGGGGTCCCTGCACGGTGAAACTCCTAGTCCAGGGGGAGACTGATGAGACGGCCAACAGAGAGAGAAAGCCTTCCCCTGGAGCTGATGCCCTGAATTTGGACTTTTAGCCTACTTTCTGTGAAGAAATAAATTTCTCTCTGTTAAAGCCATCCACTTGTGGTATTTCTGTTAGAGCAGCACTAGATGACTAAGACACCTACTCAGACTAACACAAAATGATGTTGAAAATCTGAACAGACCCCTAACAAGAGAAGAGATTGAAAAGGTAATTAAAAAAACTCCCAACAAAAAAAATCCCTGGCCCAGATAGCTTCACTGGAGAATTCTACCAAACATTCAGAGAAGAGCTTACACCAGTACTACTCAAACTATTTCAGAATATAGAAAAGGAAGGGACACTTCTAAATTCATTCTGTGAAGTCATCATAACCCTGATGCCAAAACCAGGCAAAGACACCTCAAAAAAAGAAAATTCCAGACCAATATCTCTTATAAATATAGATGCAAAAATTCTTAACAAAATTCTAGCCAATAGAATTCAGCATCATATCAAAAAAAATAATACACCATGACAAAGTGGGATTCATACCAGGTATGCCAGCATGGTTCAACATTAGAAAATCAATCAATGTAATCCACGACATAAATAAAAGAATCACACCATCATCTCAATTGATGCAGAAAAGGCATTTGACAAAATCCAACAACCATTCCCAATAAAAACGCTCAATAAAATGTATGTATAAGGGAAATTCCTCAGTACAAAAAAGGGCATCTATACAAAACCAACAGCTAACATCATTCTTAATGGAGAGAGGCTGAAAACATTCCTTTTGAGAACAGGAACAAGACAAGGATGTCCTTTATCATCACTCCTATTTAACACTGTGCTGGAAGTCCTAGCTAGAGCAATAAGGCAAGAAAAATAAATAAAATGCATCCAAATTGGTAATGAAGAAGTTAAACTGTCCCTATTTGCAGATGATATGACACTATACATAGAAAACCCCAAAGACTCCAAGAAAAAACTACTGGAACTAACAGAAAGATTCAGCAGAGTAGCAGAATACAAGATAAACATACAAAAATCAGTTGGATTCCTATACACCAATAAAGAGAACAATGAACAATGAACAATCAGGAAAACAATATTATTTATAACAGCCTACCCAAAGAATAAAATACTTAGGAATAAATCTAACAAGGGATGCAAAAGAACTATACAAAGAACTATACAAAGAACTACAAAACACTACTGCAAAAAACCAAAAGAGATTTATAAAAATGGAAAGACATACCATGCTCATGGATAGGTAGACTCAATAGTGTGAAAATGACAGTTCTACCCAAAACAATCTACAAACACAGTGCAATCTGCATTTCTCTAATGGCTAGGGATCCAGAGCATTTCCTCATGTGTCTGTTAGCCACTTGAATGTCTTCTTTGGTGAACTGTCTGTCCATTTCCTTTGCCCATTTTTTTAACTGAATTATTTGTCTTTTTGCTGTAGAGGAGTTGGATTTTCCTGTAGATTTTAGAGATTAGAACTTTGTAGGATTTGTCATAGCCAAAATTTTTTCCCCAGTCTGTAGGTTCTCTTTTTACTCCTTTGGTGAAGTCTTTTGATGAGCATAAGTGTTTAATTTTTGGAAGAGATACCATCTCAGCCCAGCATTACTGGCAAAAATCAAAAAAACAGAAAACAACAAATGTTGGAGAGGCTGCGGGGAGATTGGAACTCTTAAGCACTGCTGGTGGGAATGCAAAATGGTACAACCATTTTGGAAAGTTATATGGTACTTCCTTAGAAAGCTAGAAATACAAATATCATCTGATCAGCAATCCCACTCCTAGGAATATATCCTAGAGAAATAAGAGCCGTCTCACAAACAGACATATGCACACCCATGTTCACTGCAGCACTGTTCACAATAGCAACAAGATGGAAACAACCTAGATGCCCATCCACAGATGAACGGATAAATAAACTATGGTACGTACATACACACAATGGAATTGTATGTAACGATAACGAACAATGATGAATCTGTGAAACATCTCACAACATGGATGAATCTGGAAGGCATTATGCTGAGTGAAATAAGTCAATCCCAAAAGGACAAATACTGCATGAGACCCCTATTATAAAAACTCATGAAGAGGTTTACACAGAAAAGAAACAATCTTGATGATTATGAGGGAAGAGAGTTGTGGGGAGAGAAACACTAACTAAACAATAGATAAGTGGTAACTTTGTTGATGAGTAAGACAGTACACAATACTAGGGAAGCCAGAAAAAAAAAAAGAAAAAGTAAAATGTTTAAGATACCATTTGGCACTGAAGGAGACTAAGATTGTGAAAAGGTGTTAGAGGAAGATGAAAAGCTAAGGAGAGAAAATAAGAAAAGTACATGAATAAATAGTAGTAGACAAGAAAATGAAAAATGTACAAATTACAACAGGGTTTCAAAAGAAGGAAAAAAAAAAATCACATATAGCTGAGATTAGGAAAGCCTTTACGGAGGAAGTGTTCTTTGGGCCTTGAAAGATATCTGTTACATCTCATTTGTATTTCTTTTTTAAAATTTAAATGTTTGAATAGATAATACATTTATATGGTGAATTAAAAAAAAAAAAAAAGTTACACAATGAAAAAGTCTCCTTCCTACTTTTGTTCCCATCTGCCCAATTCCCACCACCAAACAATTGTTATTTCTTGTGTATCCTTCTGGAGTCTTTTTACACATACTCTAGGCAATAGGAAGATATATTCTTGTTTACCCCTCTTTTCACCCAATATGCAGCACATTATATACACTGTTCCAGCTTTTTTCATTTTCAATGAGTGGAGATTTAGGGAGAAGAGGAGAGATGTTCTTGGCAGAGAAAATAGCTTAAGTATGGAGGTGGCAATTTAAGGTGGATATTTGGAGGACAACGACTAGTAAAGAACTAGACTGGAAAAAGACAGTTATACCACTTTGTGAAGAACTTTAAATGTTGGCTGGATCAATGAGAATAAGCTTAGTTTTACAGGCAAAGGAAAAGAATTGGAGCAGGGTAGTACCTTGGTTAAAACTGTACCTTAGAAGATTAATCTGGCAGGGACATAGAGGAAGTGTTTCTTTCTTTTTCTAATGGTTTTTAAAAGACTGACAAGACAGTAGATGTCTAGGATTTAAAGAGCTTTATAGACCTGTCCGTAAAGATTTACAGCCTTGGAAACCCTATGGGGCAGATCTACTCTGTCCTATATGGTTGCTATGAGTTGGAATCAAATCGATGGCAACGTGTTTAGTTTCGGTTTTTTTACAGACATGTTGTGTAGGCATGAACCATTGTTATATAAGTATCAGAATCCACATGCAAAAGATATTGCCTCATCCTTATTTAAAAAAATATAAATAGAAAAGCATAAAAATTATTGCTAAAAAAATCATTGCTAATAATTTTTACCTGTTGATATGGGTTGAATTGTGTCCCCCCAAAATATGTGTTGTAAATCAGATCCTAAAACCCTATACCAGTGGATGTAATCCCATTTGGGACTAGGGTTTCCTCTGTTATGTTAATGAGGCCCTATCAGTGTAGGGTGTGTCCTAAATTTAATCACTTTGGAATTATAAGGAGCAGTATAGACACAGTCAAGCGAACACAAACTGGGGAAGACAGAAGCACATGTGAGGATCGTCAAGGAACCAAGGAATGCCAGGGCTATAGAAGCTGAGACAGGATCTTCTCTCAGAGACCAGAGAGAGAGAGAGACTACCCCCAGAGTCACTTTCCTGATTTGGACTTCTAGCCTCCTAAACTGTGAAAAAATAAATTTCTATTCTTTAAAGTCACCCACTTATGATATTTCTGTTACAGCAGCACTAAATAACTAAGCTATAGTAATAGCAGTGTTTAAAATAAAAAAGTCTTTCTCTCTTAGATTTATATCCTGAAGTATTTAAGAATGAGATGACATGGTATCAAGAGATTTGCTTTAAAATACTCTTGCTATGGGAAGGGAGAGTTGGGAAGGGACATCGACGAAATAAGACTGGCCGTGATTTGATAATTGTTGAAGCTGGGTGATGGGTGTATGCAGATGCATTATACTCTCTTTATAATCTCTACTTTTATGCATGTTTGAAATTTCAATAATAAAATGTTTTCAAATGTTGTGTTTTGTTTCTTCTTGAGCTGTTGGGGAAGAGGTTGGGTGGGTAGAAATAGGTCAGAATTTGAGAACTAACCGGGAAGAATAGGACAAAATATAATAAATGGATAAAAATGTCCTCTCCTGGCATAACTTGGTGATTACAGAGAACCATCAGATTTCCCATTTTTAAAACTGTTTATTAGAATGCAGTACTACCAACTTTGCTTTCTATATGACTGCTCACTGATTTCTCTTTAAATTTCTTCTATACACAATTCCTCAAAAAATATACAGCTATGTTATAGTAGAGAAAGACATTTTAAAAATCTATGAAATATGTATATGTGTATATGAATGGAATTTTTTTTTTTTTAAGACACACAAGAAATTTACTTCTGGGGAGTCAGAGTAGTACACCTTTTTGTATTGTTTAAATTTTGTTTACCACATGTATCAGTCCTTTCATAATGATAATAAAAAAAGAAAACCTAAAACAAGTAGGTTTTGTCTGAAATTTTTTGGAAATTGAACCCTCCAAAGATACTTTAATTCTTCCTCAAGAAAACACAGAAGTCATATTTAAAAATCTATGCCCCAAATTTGTATAATTTCCATCAGACTATAGAAAAAAATTACTAAAACAATAAAAACGTAGTCACTTAGTTTCAATAATACAATAATTAGAATTATTAAAATAACTACAATACCTTGCTACTAACTCTGGGAATTCCTCTGTAATCTGTTTCATTACATAGACAATAAACCATTCATCCTCAATGTTATCCCCAAACTTTGTCATGCCAAACATATGGGCAGGAACGTCTCCTAAAACAAGAGAAAAGCAACCATACAAGCAGATAAATTTGTCATTGTAAATAAAAACACATGTGATCATTCGATTGAACAAACATTCGCTGACTACTATGCTCCAGGTATTATACTGGCAGCTGGGGTTGTAATCCTGAATAAGATACAAGATGCTTACTTATGAAGAACTCAGGGTCTAAAACGAGAGGTAAACAACCAAGTCATTGAAAAGAGATGATGAACAACTGTATGCAAAAGGACTATGTGAGCATAAAGGAGGTGATATTTGAGCTATGCTGGTCTGGAGGAGTGACCGGGGTGGGATTCCAGGAAAAAGGAACAGCATGTGTAAAAAGAGGCATGATAAAAAATAGCTTGTTCTGGGAATATCAGGAGACTAGAATGGATGTCAGAAGAGACTCTGAAACTTGCTTTCGAATGTCAACAAGCAAAAGCAAATGGAAGAAATGATGAAGTAAAAGAGCTGAACAGAAAATATCAAAGGGAAGCTCAAGAAGACAAAGTAAAGTATTACAATGACATGTGAAAAGACCTGGAGTTAGAAAACCAACAGAGAGGAACATGCTTGGCATCTCTCAAGCTGAAAGAACTGAAGAAAAGATTCAAGCCTCGAGCTGCAATACTGAAGGATTCTATGGGCAAAATATTAAACGACACAGGAAGCATCAAAAGAAGATGGAAGGAATACACAGTCACTATACCAAAAAGAATTGGTCGACATTCTGCCATTTCAGGAGGCAGCATATGATCAGGAACCGAAGGTAATGAAGGAAGAGGTCCAAGCTGCACTGAAGGCACTGGCGAAAAACAAGGTTCCAGGAACTGATAGAATACCAACTGAGATGTTTCAACAAACAGATGTGGCGCTGGAAGTGCTTACTTGTTTACGGCAAGAAATCTGGAAGACACCTACCTCGCCAGCCAACTGGAAGAGATCCATATTTATGCCTATTCCTAAGAAAGGTGATCCAACCAAATGTGGAAATTATCAAACAATATCATTAACATCACACGCAAGAAAAATTTTGCAGAAGATAATTCAAAAGTAGCTGCAGCAGTACATTGATAGGGAATTGCCAGAAATTCAAGCCAGATTCAGAAGAGGATGTGGAACAAGGGATATCATTGCTGATGTCAGATGGATCCTGGCTGAAAGCAGAGAATACCAGAAAGATGTTTACCTGTGTTTTACTGACTACGCAAAGACGTTTGACTGTGTGAACCATGACAAATTATGGATAACACTGCAAAGAATATGAATTCCAGAACACTTTATTGTGCTTATGAGGAACCTGTACATAGATCAAGAGGCTGACGTTCGAATAGAACGAGGAGATACTGTGTGGCTTAAAGTCAGGAAAGGTGTGTGTCAGGGCTGTATCCTTTCACCCATACTTATTCAATCTGTGTGCTGAGCAAGTAATCCAAGAAGCTGGACTATATGATGAATGGGGCATCAGGATTGGAAGAAGACTCATTAACAACCTGCGGTATGCAGATGACACAGCTTTACTTGCTGAAAGTGAAAAGAACTTGAAGCACTTACTGATAAAGATCAAAGACTACAGCCTTCAGGAGGGATTACAACTCAACATAGAGAAAACAAAAATCCTCACAACTGGACCAATAAGCAACATCATGATAAATGGAGAAAAGACTGAAGTTGTCAAGGATTTCATTTTACTGAGATCCACAATCAATGCCCATGGAAGCGGGAGTCAAGAAATCAAATGATGAAATGATACTCATGAAGAGTGTGCTCAAGTAGATACATGAGATTATATGAGCAGCTCTTGTCCGGAGGCAAGATGAGAAGGCAGTGAGGGTCAGGAGCTGGTTGAATGGATATGGGAAATCCAGGGTGGAAAAGAAGAGTGTGCTGTCACAATACAGGGAGAGCAAGTAGGGTCACAAAACAATGTATGTATAAATTTTTGTATGAGAGGCTAACTTGAATTGTAAACTTTCACTTAAAGCACAACAATAAAAAGAAAAAAAAAATTAATGGGCCATGAATGTGATGGCTTATTTCTCTTACAAGCCAGGTTGAGCCACTCTTAGATCCCCACCAAAACAACCATGTGAAACAAGGCAGCCTACTAAACACATTATCAAGAGTGAGGAATTCTGAGTAGCAGCAAAAGGAACTATAGCTAACGAAGCCAATTTCCTGAAAAAGTTTGGTATATTATGGCACAGTAATTAGATTTCAAAATAATAGCCCTGAGTTTAACAATGTTGTGTGTATGCTAGTTCCTGAGGTAATGACTATTAGAAAGATTTTCATCAATATGAATTTTAAAGGGCTTAACTGAATACAAGCAAATATCACTGATCTAAAAAGTTCAGGATATAAATCTCTTCTTTACAACAATAGATAAATTACGGACTATTACACATCACTACCGTCAGAATGACACTAATAGTCGCATATACCAAGATAGATAAAAGAGCCTTACCTTTCTCAGGTTTGTATTTGAGATTGAAAGGTTGATTCTGCCAGATATACGGGACCAGTATGGGTGCAAAATGGGTCATTATTCTCTCAATATACTTCAGAAGAATCTCCTTGTGTTTTTCTGGGTTCCTTGGTTCATTTGGTATGAGGAACAGGCAGTATTCCACAGTGTCTTCCACTGTAGCAAGCTTCATATTTTCCTCCATTCTTCTTTGAGAACTACGTTTGAAGTTTCAATAACATAAACTACATAGAACAACAAAGAAGTAACATCCTATCCCCTGAACTTCTCCAGGTGATTCCATTAATACTGTTCAAAAATTCAGCTATTCACATACCACGTGATGATTTTTTGCCTTGATCATGTATCAACTATAAACCAAAACCTGTTGCGTTGAGTCAATTCCGACTCATAGTGACCGCACAGGATGGAGTAGAACTACCCCATGGGGTTTCCAAGGAGCAGCTGGTAGATTCCAACTGCCTACCTTCTGGTTAGCAGCCGAGTTCTTAACCACTGTGCCATCAGGGCTCTGTACCAACTATAGTAATATTCATTTAATATTGTTCTTTACAATGACTTTTAGACTTAAAATCATGTAAAACGAAACCTTGTATCAAGATAATAAACAGAAATCCAGTATCATATTCCTGAATAGACTGATAACTATGTAAGAATAAAATTAAAAAATGCTTGTATTTGTACTAGCAAGCAAAAACTCTGCACGAAGGGGTGGGGGTCTGGGGACCACGCTTTCAGGGGACATCTAGGTCAATTAGCATAACAAAGCTTATTAAGAAAATGTTCTGCATCCTACTACTTTGCTGAGTGGTGCCTGGGGTCTTAAAAGCTAGCAAGCAGCCATCTAAGATGGATCAATTGGTCCCAGCCACCTGGAGTAAAGGCGAATGAAGAACACCAAAGACACAAGGAAAGCAGTAGCCCAAGAGACAGAAAAGGACACATAAACAAGAGACTGCATCATCCTGAGACCAGAAGAATTAGATGGTGTCTGGCTACCACCAATGACAGCCCTGACAGGGAACACAATAGAGAGTCCCTGA